TGATGACACCCTCCCTGTAAACATGGGGCTTGCCATGCGCTGATGACACCCTCCCCGTAAACATGGGGCTTGCCGTGCCTTGATGACACCCTCCCTGTAAACATGGGGCTTGCCGTGCGTTGATGACACCCTCCCCATAATCAGCACACAGGGAGCCTCATGTTTACAAGTAGGGTGTCCTCAGTCCACGCTGAGCCCCGCGATGACGGGTAAATATTTGTCCAGAGGCCAGCTGTTGGGCATCAATACACCTCTCAATATTTTAACCAAATTACTAACCTGCTTACCAAATTGTGGGTGTAAGTAAATGTTCGTATAGCACCAAGAAGCCGGCATCCAGGAAAATGTTTACATTAGGCACCTAAAGTTCTGGTGATTTTTACACATGCGCAATATAATCGTGAGGTGATATTGTGCAGCCGTAGAAATAAATTATGACTGCTACTTTGAGACCCAAGTAATGAATGAGCCAAATTCCACAATGAAAAATGACGGATTGTCCAATCTCCATTATTTTAGTAGCTGTGTCTTTAGCTCAGGTGCTGCTATCTTTGAATACCGATAAGTGATAGATCGATAACTTGATTTTTCAACCTATACCAATATGTTAGCCCTCAAGATGCATGATATTGGTTAACAATAACTTTTTACTAAGGTAGCAATTAGCTACGTCAGTATCTTGACTGTAGCTAGCAAAAACAACTGTTTCCCAAAAGCATTGTAGAACAAATATCAACCAGACAACGTTCTGTACCACATAACATGTGCGAGTTTCCCAAAAGTGTCGTAGAGCAGAGATCAGGTAATGCTTCCGTTATGAATATTATTGGGCCTTCCCAAGCTATCATACACTTTTTGGAAGTTCTCATGCTAGTGCTGCTACTTTGAGAACCTACTTGTAGGACATGAGCGTGACAGCATGCAACCTGGAAGTAAGAGTATCTTAAAAGGTGGATTTTGCCCCCCAAAATAGTTTATAACTGATTGTAATGTGACAGATTATGGAGCTGAATCACCACTTGAATCTATTCATCACAATGCATCTGTGCATCCCTAATAAACACTAATGAAATTGTGTGATAAAAGACTCCAGTGTGTCGCTACTAAGACAGGTGCAGGATTGCGCCCAGGTAGGGTAAGGACACTGAAATATCGGAGGTGAGAGTACTGAGCTTGCTGCCAGGCTGGCATTGAGAAGTCTCATTGGTCAATCCTGAAGCCCACATGAAAACAGCAGGGTAAGAAGTGGCAGATGCACCTCCAGGCGGCGCTGTCTGTCTGGATCCTCCTCATTCATGATACGCTCCTTCTCAGCACGCTTCTTTTCCTCACGGCGTGTCTGGGCAGCCTCCTGACGCTGAGTGTGTGTCAGTTTCAGGAAGTTCTCCTCCACACGAGCCCTGTTCTTCTCGGCCTTCTGCTTACCCTGGAGGCAGGGGGTGAAGGGGGGAGAGAGCTGTGTAATATCATGACTGCTTGTACCCTTAGCAAACTGGAGGTTCAATGAAGAAAGCTGTGATTCCAGAGGTAGAGAGAGAAACAAACTGGAATTGTGACAGGAAAACATTCAGAACTGGGAATGTTGCTCACCTCCCTGTTGAGGCGGAACTTTTTGACTTTGTCGATGCTGTAGATGACCATGTCCATGAGGGGAAACAGAGACTCCATGTCTCTGGGGGACACGTTTCCCATGCCAGGAACTGTACACACAAACATACATTATTGGGGACCAGGCCTATCCTCTCAGTTAAGGAGCTAAGCTACAAAATCAAATCACAGAGACGACAGAAGTTTAAAGGTGCCATACTATTCTGTATTCATTGTTGGTAGCCAGCCTTCCCTTACAGACACACAGTTGAAAATTGGTGCTTGCTCTGCTAAGTATGTGTTTGAGACGGTGACATATGTAGTCAAATCACTCTGGTGATTGAATCAGGGATTACTGTATCCCAATAATGGCTTGTTCATGGATATGCCTGAACAATGGGTGATGCCCATCTTCTGTACAACTGCAAAATCTACACAGCAAAAACGCAGAAAATCAGTTATAATTAATAATGTTTTATGAAAAGAACATTTTGACTAAAGTGAACTTAAGAACTAGCACGTAATTAGCCTAAACATTCTCCATCCAAAAAATCAACACACTACTTGTTTGGATCACGCCTCCCCCCTCGTGAGAATGCCGGCTCGAGTAGAAGAGCTGGTCTTAAACAATTCTTTATTTTCCCCAGGGACCTCGCAGTCGATGCAAGGTATCGTTGCTCCCATGTGGTCACATACTAAGCACTCTTTGCTCGTCTCCTGTGCCACCCTAGCCCCACCCACCTGTTGTGGTCCTGTGCCTGCGCCTTTGCCCCAGATCCCCACTTTGTGTCAAATTCAGTCCCTTGTCTCCATCTTCGACAGATTGACCTCCTTGTTTCACAGACCTTCCTGTTTCATGAGCTCGACTACGTCCCTGCCGACTGATTATGGTCCTGCTCACTCTGGTTTAAATAAAGCCTGGCTTGTTCTGCCCATGACTTCTGCCCGAGCGTTTTCTGGCCTAACAGTCCGTCATTGTGTGCCTACACACTCTCTGTTATAAATGTTGCTTTTAACCAGTGGAAATACAGGCCAGTTCTCAGGTCGTACTATCTGAGCAACAGCTGGGAAACAGCTTACTGTCAGCACTGGCACTAGCATCGACTTAGTGGATACATATACATTTATATTTGAAAATGCTCCATTTTCCCCAAAAAGTTTGTTTCTATTGGCATTATGTTCTCTGCGATGAGAATGAGGTTTATTTTTACCATTGAATGTAAAAAGTAGTGTCTTTCTTGACTCTGGCATCTTTAAAGGTTGACCCTCCCTAAAACAAACAAAAGGTCATAAAAATCAGTCAAGTACAGGCTATCATAGGGCTATGAGTAGGAAGTGACCTGACGGAAACTCACGTACTCCTGTACGAGCTTGGCACCGGAGAACTGATCTGAGAAATGGACAGACTCGATTTTGTCTGCGTTGTTGGCCAGAAAGTGAACCATCTGAAACAGATTGGGTGAGAAGAGGCTTCCAAATAGCATTATGGCCTGTATGTGTGTAAGCTGCGGAGGACTCCTTAGCACCTTTTGACCTTAAAGCACAGAGAGTGAACATGCATACTCCACACAGAGCGCCGGGGGAGGAAATCAAGCTGAACACGTGCCCATCCCCCAGTCTGGTGTCCTCTTTAACATGCATATGCATAGCCAAGCTCACCCCAGACATATTCCTCTGCCCTCACCTTAGTGTCCAGCATTCCATCAGTCACCTCTCCCATCTCCGACAAGATGACCAGGTGCTCCGGGAGTCCGTATTTGGCTCCAGATTTGGGTTTGTCACCACAGAACTCACTCTGTGGACAGAACCATTAATAATGTCACAAACCCAATATAATGCACCCAAATGATGGCAGTGCATAGTCCTTCGATATATGAATGAATGCTTATTTAAAGCCTTAAAAAATAAAATCTAGTGGCATATTTACCAAGTATCACCAAAAAAAGGCCAACCATGCAGAATACTACGGGGCTCCAGACTATGACCAAAGCGGTTACATTTATTGAGAGTGTGTGAATTAAAATTTTACACGATCACATCAGTGCAAGTGCATGATAATCATTATGATGTTTTGCTCCGGTATGGGTACTGCGTTAAATTGTGATTGAAAGTTTTCTTCCCTGGTCCTGTGCCTTTTTTTTTTTTTTGCTGAGTTGGTCTCTTACGTATATGTACACAGATGATTAAATGTTGTAAAACAATCTCTTTGGCTGTGGTGTTAATTTGTTCCAAAAATTAAGTGGTTTATAGCTGATGTATTAAGACGAACTTACAGGTGGCCCCACAACTGGTCACGTCGCCCTAGTAGCATAGAATTAAAGAAATATGTTGAATGTTCCCCTGTCACTGTGATGATTTGGGAGGTAGTAATTGTCTGGCTTCACTACTCACGATTTGGGGGAGTACCTCCAACTCCACCTAGCAGACATACATATGAGGTGATTGAGCTGTGGATCGATTCTGACCATGTGTGGGCTAATCATCCTGAAATTCAGATACAGCGTCCATATCGTCCATGATTCACTCATAATACTGTTGTGTCAGGGTTGAACTGTATAACTTGTTTCTCATGAGAAGAATCAGCTTATCTTGTCCCAATAATTCTTGTCCTGGGATACTTATTCTGTTCAAGGACACTTGTTATTTCTGATTCATGAGATGCTAACCTTGTTCAAGGATGCTTACTTTGTTTTTTATGGACTTTCCTGAGAAGAAAAGGTGGTCCAACATGTGTTTTATACATTATCGATTAGTCTGTGGGCCACTTATTTTGTTCTCAGAAGATGTTCTCACGAGAAAGGGGAAGTTGATCAAGGATACTCGTCCAATTACTTTTGATTGAAACTGTATCTAGCAATTGGTGTGTGGGATACTGATCTTATCTAGAGAAAAAGGGAATGTGTTGATTATGGGAACTTGTCTTCGTATTTTTAATTTTAACCGCAAGCCGCATTACCCGGACAAGATTGGAAATTTGAGAATGCCTTGCCTGGGGGGAGGGGTGAGCCTGGCCAGCTCATCCCCTGCCCACACGTAATGCCCAAAAATTAGTATAAAAGGAAGGGGGAGATCTCGGTACTGACCGGAGCTCAGCCGTGGATAGAGCGCGCATCGCTCGGCACTTTCTCGGGACTCACATGTTGATCTCCTACCAGGACTGAAAGGGGCTCCCCAGTCTAAGAGTGAAGGTGGGTGATGATGGCACGTCCGAGTGTGAATAGTTGTGTCTGTGTACTGAATTATTTTATGAGAATCACAATAATAATAATAATAATAATACGTACTTTCTATGTATGCATGTTTTATTGTCACTTTTTATATATACATATAATCAGTTGTACTGGCAGTTTGATTATTGTTTATGATTTAAAATACCATTGGATATCACTTATGATATGGAATTATTCTGCATTACTTTTGAACCTGTATTTGGGTATTGATTTTAATGCAAGGTTATTTTGTATTACTTGTAATAAAACGTTTTTAGAAGCGAACCTAAGTGTGCCTGTTTGTTCCTTCGAAAGCCCTATATCCCCCTCACATCATCTTAAAACAGCTGATTATTTAAAAAAACAAAATGAGAAGAAAGGGGAAGCTGGTGGAGAGGGAGAGCTGAAGAGAGATCCCCAGACAGACAAGTGATGATGAGAGTGATTAAAGTTATAGTTCAGATTTAAATGTTTTGCAAACCCCCTCAAATTCACATATTTAACATTCATGGTTTTGGTAATTCATGAATTGGCTGTAGACAAACAAATATTTTTGGAGGTTGCCGAAAGTGCAGAAACTCACAGATGGCGAGTAAGCCAAAGACAATACTGAAAATGATTTGGATCCCAAAAATTTATACTATACTATTACTAATATATAATTAGACCTGTCACAATTACTTGATTAAACTCAATTACTCTATTATTTAGAAGCATCGATTAAAAATTCTTCCTTCCCTCGATTACTTGCAGTATGGTGGAAGGGACACAGCGCATAGCGGATGAAGATGAAAATAAAGAGCCAAAGCCAGTTGTGTGGAAGCATTCAGAGTGACGAAGATGGACAGGATTGGGAATCAGTATATTAGAGGGACAGCTCAGGTTTGACTGTTTGGAGACAAAGCCAGAGAGGTTGGTTTGGACATGTACAGCAGAGAGATGCTGGGTATACTGGGAGAAGGATGCTGAGAAAAGAGTTGCCAGGGAAGAGGAAAAGAGGAAGACCTAAGAGGAGGTTTAAATTATGGATGTGGTGAGAGAGGACATGCAGGTGGCTGGTGTGAA